AAATATTATATAATATATTAAAGTATACATGGAATTAATATATATATAATTATAACTTAATATATATATATATTAAATAATAAAAATTAAATATAATTAAATTGATTTGATGTTTTATGAGAGCATAATTCTCCATTATTCAACACCATAGAAGATGTCATTAACACTCCCTATGTTATTACCTAAAAAACACTATCACATCAATTTTACACTTACTTTTTCTCCTATATAATAGTACAGTTAATAAATTGGATGGTGGATTTAACCGTATTTATTATCCACAAGATGCATGAGGATGAGGTGAAAATTCTTAAAAAAAGACAACCGTTGGTCTGTAATGATTAAAATTATGAGGGACCGGTGACGGTGTTTATTGTTGACTATATTTGCTTACCTACAAACTGAAAGTAACCCATCTACTACTTAACAAAATGAGCCGATTCCAGTTATTAAAATGCTCATCACTTTCAAAATTTCACACCATATGCTTTTAGTTTATTTTATTTTATACCAAACAGTTGGTGAATTTTTATCATGTCGCTTGTTTTTTCTTTTTTCCCGGTTTGTGTATACCTCGGATCATGGAAAACAACCAGAAAAATCTCGAATATGAGGAATCTTCTCAAATCTCGAGTGGCTTGTTTTCCTCGAATAACTGGGGACAATAAACTTGATGGTCTGTTTTCGTCTCCCAAATTTGTCACCATATATTACTTTTCCCCTCAGTTAGATTCTTGGATTAGAGTAGAACTAAATGCATCCTTATATATTACTAAATATACTCATCTCGACTAATTTTTTCCTCACACACATCAATATCAAGACTTATTTTTACATTTATAACACATGATCAGATGATATGATATTATTATGACAGGTGAAGGATCATGGAGTTATGGTTAGAAGTATAAAAAGAGAATTTGAACCTTGATCACTTTTAATCTCATGCTCACCCATGAATTGCACTTTAGAAGAGAATTGATCTGGTATATTTGGGTGCACCTCGTTAATATTAACAATTAGAATTGATTCAAGAGTAGATAACTACTCCTACGCGTATCACCTGAATCCAACCCACCATGACATAAAAAGGGTGACAGTCCCATCTAATTCCATTACCCCCTGCATCTTACAAGTATTTCATTAAATGGGAAAGGTTTCACACGCATAGCACACGTCAGAATCTGGGTCGATAACGTGCCTATATTTTCTTCTCCGAATGGTTTATATTTCTTCTTTCACAATGAATGTTCTCAAACTTCCAATCTAATTCCCTTCTTGAACAGCCTTACTTACTAGAAGATGAAGACATCAGCTTCAATTTTCATTGCTTCGATCGTAATTCTACTACTAGTAACAAGATCAGAGGGCGATGCCAGATCCCGAATCATCAGAATTTCATGTGATAACCAAAAAGAGAACAATCAAACCTTATTCATCCCAAACTTTGTCCGTACAATGGAAAGAATCGCCACCCAGATGCGAACTTCACATAACGGAACAGCAGTTACGGGCACTGGACCTGATAGTAACATCGGACTTGCTCAATGCTACGGCGATCTTTCTAGAGACGATTGCATCTTATGCTATGCCGAAGCTCGTACTGTTCTTCCCACTTGCTTTCCCAACAATGGCGGTCGAATTTATCTAGATGGTTGCTTTATGCGAGTCCAGAATTACAGCTTCTTCGAGCAGTATACAGGGCCTAATGACACTTATGTTTGTGGGAATACAACAAAGAAGGGTAGACTGTTTCAAGTATCAGTAAGGCAGGCAGTGTCCGATGCTGTAGCGGATGCACCAAGAAACTTAGACTACTTTGCTAGGAAAGAGGTGCCAGTATCTGGTACTAACAAGTCGGTCTATGTGCTCGCAAATTGCTGGAGGACTTTGAACCCGAGTTCTTGTAGGGCGTGTTTGGAGAATGCATCTGCATCGATATCGAAATGCTTGCCGTGGTCTGAGGGTCGTGCATTGAACACGGGATGTTTCATGAGGTATTCCGACACCAATTTTCTCAATCCTCTACCAGCCACAAGCAGCAGCTCTAACCATAGAGGTAACAAGAATGATATCGAATCAAACTATACAAGTTATTCCTCTTTTCAGTAGATACTTTGACCTGGTCTAATTTTGGCTTTTCCAGGTTATGAACCGATCAGGGTTTGGGGTCAAAAACTGGGATTTTGGGCTGGGCTTGGCCCGAACCTATTCGGTTTAATTGGCCTTTGACGCCTAGCAGGGGCTGGGCTTTGGGCTTAGTAGGCCCACACTTTTTTGGGCTGTGCACATGCCTATCTCTAGTTGGAGTTAGAGATGGTTAAAATGGGTCTGGTTTATTATGATTTTTTATGTAAATTTAAGGTCCAACTTGAATCAAGATTGGTTACGGGACCGGAACCGGTTATATATAGGACTTTTTAAAAAAAAACTAAAGTTCTTCTTGAAGTTTTTTTTGGGTTTCAATACTAAATTTTTTTAATCGTAATTATAGAAAAATTTATGACATTTTTGTGTGAAAAAAATGTAAAAGAAAAGATTTCAAGTGTATATAAATGACCAAATTAGAGATTTTAAAGTGTATTTCAATAAGATATTATATAAATAGAAAATTTTCAAACAAGATATTTTATATGCTTAAAGTTGTTTCGGGAAAATAAAAGTTGGGACCAATTTGGAATAGGGACCGGTTCTAGGGACCGAGCTTTTCACATGGAGAATTGGCTGACAGTTTTGGTCGGGACTGAGACCAGTTACAAAAGGATAATCTTGGACCAAATAAGCGGGACTGATTTGGGCCCGATCAAACCAGGACCTGCTGAATCTATATTTTGATCAACGGAGTTACTATTTTCTTTACAATATGAACATTATCAAGAGATTCAATTGACTTATTGACATTGACGACCAAATTAGTGTTCGTCATGAACTAACTTGGGACAATTTAGAACAATTTTTTTTTGTATTTTGATCATGATAACTTTTTCTATTAACAATTCAATTATTTTGGTAACATGATCATTTGAGTTACCTATTACTAACAACCTATCATTCTCTATTCACAGAATAAGCTAAATACTTGAAGTCTAACATTGATTATATCAGTATAGTTATAAATATCTCCTTTGATGATTTTTTGTTTGTGGGTTTTGCAGGAAAGATAATAGCTATTGTTGTTTCCGTTCTTAGTTCTTTGGCGGTTTTCATAGTTGCTTCGATGATTGTTTTATATATCTGGAAACGTAGATATATACAGAAGAAGAGAAAAGGTATAAACCATTCTACATTCTTTGGATCTTGTTTTAGAAGGCTAAGTGTAAAGTATTACAGTCTTTCATCGGCTAGACTTGGCCCATTTTTATGTCGGAACACCCATTCTCTACTTAAAAGAGCTCTCTTCGAGAGTAATCCCTTCTAGATATCCTAACATAAAGCATGATGAACTTGTCAAAACTTGGTAATAACTAGGGATGAAAACGGGGTGGGTAATGCATCTCCTGTCCCCAACCCCGACCCCGACCCCATTTAAGTCCCCATCCCCGAACTTTCCCCGTCCCGATGGGTTCGGGGGAAAGGAATCCTCGGCGGGCTTGGGGAACCCATTGGGTAGACGTTTAGTTAAAAAACATTAAAAACAATGTAATTTGAAATTAAAATAATAATGAATCTTCACTACATTAATTACTAATATTGAAAATCAAATATATTTGTCATTTAATACTAAATGTTTACATAGATACATATATGTTTATTTATTTATACACACTATATACATATATTTAACAAAAAAAATTAATCAGGGTCGGATTAAGGGCGGTAAGCTATCCTCGACCCCGCTTCGGGTATAAAAATAAACCCCCGTCCCTGCCCTGTAATTACCCGTCAAAGTGGGGAATTCCCGCCCTATTATCTCTAGTGACAACATATATAATTATTTGTGGGATTCCAATTTTTTTCTAAAAATGAAGAATGAAACTTCAAAATTTCTAAAAGAAAAACTAATTCAAATCCATCAATTCCTCCATTTTAGAGATTACAGTTCCTGCATTTTGGAGATTACAAGATTGATTGTATTATTAAGATAATCCTTCCACTTAATAAAATATTTCTTTTTTCTCTTTTTCAAAATTTAATTTCAATGTTCTCTTTTCGTGGGAATACGTCAAAAAAAATATTTCTCTCTCGTTGTAATCATTTTTAGCAACTTCTTCAACCTCTCTCCCACTTTCTCCCTTTTGAAGAAAGGTTTTAGTAAATCTGTTGAAGCAAAAAAACATGTCTGGAATCCTCAAAATCTCCGTTTTAAAGAATCACTTGGATATGCTTTAATGATTGGCTAACGTTTCAGGTTCCTATGATGCCAAGAAACTGGAAAAGATGCTTAATGATAGTAGCCTGAACTTCAAATACTCCACTCTTGAGAAAGCCACAGGAAAATGGGATGAGTGCAATAAGCTCGGTCAAGGAGGATTTGGGACGGTCTACAAGGTACTACTTAGAGCATCCACACAAATTCTGTCTGTCTACTATATTAGTTTTCTATCTCTGTCACATCTTTTATCGATTTTATCTTTCCCTCACATTTCATAACAATGAAAATTTCCTTCAGGGGGTTCTTTCAGACGGAAGAGAAATAGCTGTGAAGAGACTCTTCTTCAACAACAAATTCAGAGCAGCAGATTTTTACAACGAAGTTAACATGATTAGCAGTGTTGAACACAAAAACTTGGTGAGGCTGTTAGGATGCAGCTGTTCAGGACCTGAAAGTATTCTTGTATACGAATATCTACCCAACATGAGCCTCGACCGCTTCATTTTTGGTACGTTTAAATGTTTTCGATCATTTATTCCTTATCCGTCCAACGGGTCTAAGATCATGATGCTGATGACTTGAGATGCATTTATGAATTTGTAAACATGTACAGATGCAACAAAAGGCAAGGCCCTAAACTGGGAGAAGAGATTTGAGATCATCATTGGTACAGCAGAAGGCCTGGTTTACCTTCATGAGAATACCAAAAGCCGAATTATTCACAGGGATATTAAAGCGGCTAATATCTTGTTAGACTTGAGGCTTCGTGCTAAAATAGCTGATTTCGGGTTGGCGAGGTCGTTTCAAGACGATAAAAGCCACATCAGCACCGCCATCGCTGGAACACTGTAAGTATTCAAGTCCTACGTCAGCTAGACACAGACCATTCATCTATATTTTCTGCTTTTATTAGATCAAATAGCACTCAAATTATCTGCTAATCTTTTATTTGTTTTAATTGAATTTCACTAGAGGATATATGGCTCCGGAGTATCTGGCCCATGGTCAGTTAACCGAGAAGGCAGATGTCTATAGCTTTGGTGTGTTAATACTGGAGGTGGTCACTGGAATGGAAAACAATAGAAGCAAAATGGTAGAATATACCGACAGCCTAGTATCGATCGTAAGTATAAAAACTACCCGATACCCGATAACACAGTTGCAACAATTTTCATTTAACGAAAGTTTCTTTTCAAGTCAAGATGGCGATATTGATTGTGTTATTAAAACGTTTAGTCAAACAATGACTTGGGATCATATAAAACCAATTTGTTTTCGTGAGACGACCATAAAATACACTGAACTTTCATTGTTTCACACCAATATACTGTGAAAGTACAAGAAACCACTGAACCTTTCTTTTTGTACTTTTATAGTGTTTTTGCTTTGAAGATTCAATGTATTCTTGTGTCTTCACAAATGGTCTCATAGATCTCACAAAAACAGACCAGTCCCACGAGAACCCAACCCAACTCTTTTGGGACGAAAAAAGTGACGAATTAAAAAGAAATTAATAGAAATAACCATTTTAGTTTGCTAAATTTACCTCTTAGCCCTTTCTTACACAAAATTTCCAAAAAAATCACTACATCTACAAGTAGCAATTTCTCATCTTCAGGAGGAGCCAAAAGTTTTAATTTTTTTTTTTTAACATGGTCCGCAAGTACATAGATCAAATATGTAAATTAGTTTACGTCTACATATTTGGTCTCTGTACTTGAGGACCATGTTCAAAAATTTCTGTTCTTTTTATTACTTTTTGACGCCTCGGGAAGTTAAAGAGTTGTTGTTTGTGGAATGACTTTTTGAAAATTTTGGGAGAAAAATGGTTAAGAGGTAAATATATACGGCTGAAACGACAATTTTTGTTAATTTCCATAAATCAAATGCGAGTCAATTTAAAAATGAAAATATTTTTTTTTTTTGGTATTTTTGTATGAAACAGGCGTGGAATCATTTCCAGCAAGATAGAGTGGAGGAAATCTTCGACCCAAATCTAATGATGCAAGTTTATCCAAACAGCAATTTCCAAAAAGAGGCCATAAAAGTGGTACAAGTAGGACTTCTTTGCACTCAAGAAGTTCCATCTTTAAGGCCAACAATGTCAATGGTACTAAAAATGTTGGCAAAGGATGACGAACCCTTACCTTCCCCTTCTAATCCCCCTTTTATCGACGAAAAAACCATGGAACTCAACGGCTTTATAGAAAAGTTACGGTATTACCATAGCGGTGATGATTCTAGCTCTGTCGCCACCGTTTCCCGTAGTCATTTCTTCCCGAGGTAACACTTGTTAATTAATTATGAAATCAGCTGAATGAAAATATGGTCGCCAATTGGCCAAGTCTACAGGTACTGAAGAGATGTTGTGTAACGACCAATGCTCAAAGCAACAGGCAGACCACAATGAAAGTTTTTTGTAGTTTGTAATTTTTAAACTTACAAAGAACTCACAAATCTATTCTATTATCTATATGAGACGGGACGTTACATGTTATCTATAGAAGTTTCAAGTTTTTTTTTTTTTTTTTTTTTTGTATTTTATCTAGAAAATTTGTGATTCTGTAGATCTTTTCGCATGTGCCAACGTTCAATTAGTAGAAAAGGGTAGTGTATTAGCCAAGTTTTTGGAGGGTCATAATAGAAAAGTATTTTTCTGTATATTATATAATATGGGTATTAGTTTTATTTTTGTAGATTAAAACGTCAATCAAGGACGCTACAATTTGTTTGTAGGCCCTGATACACATGTATCAAGAATATATATTGACTAGATCAGTAATGGATAAAATAAATATATAAATTCATAAATATATCATATCAAAACAAATAAAAGAGTAAAAACCAAAAACAATATAATTAAAGCTAAAACGTGTATTATTCGTATGTGTGAGAATATGTGAAATCCTCATATGAGTGCTTAAAAGAGCCCTTAAGGTGTAAAAGAGGTTCTAACATATATACAAAAGAAATGGTCCAAGTCTAGCCAACGTGCGACTTAAATACGTGCCTCCAATGGATAATATGTGAAACTCTTAAATCACTCTCCAATAAAGCTTGGAGGAGAAATAAGAGGTTCCAACATATATACACGAAAAATAGTCCAAATCTACCCGATATAAGACTCCAACAGTCCAACTTAACAGTCCAATATATGGCCATGGGCCACTAAGTTGAAAACTTATTTGTAGGCTCCTGTACTCTTTTATGTCCATTATTTATCATGTAATGTTTGAATGTCATCAAATTGTTAAGGGTAGTTTACTTAAACATTAATTTGTAAGCGTTTAACAGTAAAATTTAACTATATCATGTAAGATTTTAATCTATCAAAACGACATCAATGTAACAATTTACCCGGTAAGTGCTAATGGTGGTAAGAGTCGTCGGCATCACTTACCGAGTAAGACTCTCGGTCTGTGTATTTGCTCTTACCAGATAACATTCTTGGTACTTGTCATATTCATCCGATAAAAAAATATGACTTGATAAACACTTATTCGAGTAAACATTTGTTAAACGGCCTCATAGTTATTCAAATTTATTGCCATTTTTCAGGGGACAAAATTTATTTAATTCATTATTGTATACTAATTTTAACAACTCTATTATAGAGTAAGAAAAGTTATAACCACACCGACTAACTTCGTATCATTGTCGTGCCGAATACTTTGAACAATTGAAATTATATAATATATTTTAAAAAGGTTTATATACATAAAATAAAAATGAATTTTATTCAAATTCCAATTTAAGTAATGTAATTTTTTTACGCATAGTAGAAACATAGTTCAAAATTTGTCTATATCTAACATAAAATTAGAACAACTATTGTACAATTTGGTTCATATTTTAGGTAATATATTTCGAAACTTTCGTTTTGGTACCTAAGATGTAAAAATTTAAGTATAATATACTTTTTTATAACTTTTTCATTTTTATTTTTATTTTTATTTTCAGTTTATTTTTATATCTGTACGAAGGTCAAAACAAAGTAATTATCATCATCAATTAATTAATAATTACTTTTAGTAGAAGTCTTCTTTACCAGCTTTCTTAAGTTACGTACTCATTTTTTTTTAGTAACTTTACTTTAAAAATATATAACAATAATAAATACTATCTCGATTTAAAATAAGTGTTTACATTTCTATTTCATTAAAATTTCATAACTATATATAAAACAACTTTAAAAAAAATATTATATGAAACAATTTTATAAGATTAAACAATGAAATCGATGGATGAGGATGGTTTGCACGATTTGTACAAATATGAATGGTTTGCATTTGATTGTTCCTATCTCTAAAGGGAACCAACTGAATAATCATAATCCTAAACCATATCTCTCATATTGGAAAATCTTATGTCTTTGGTTTGAATCTAGACACTGTCAAAGTTTTTATAGTCATGAATGTTCATCTACAATGACTCTAGACTATTTAGATTAATAACAGACACATGTTGACATTCCAACCTTCCTTCGCCTTAGGACTAGGATAGAAAGGCAGAGACGGGGAAGCCCTTCTCCTCACAGAACACTAGTTGTCTTTTAAATTATAAAAAATTAACTTGAATTCGGGACCACTATTCGAAATCTTCCTTAGCCGGAAAGATATGTAGCCATGAAAGTCGAAAAGAAATTCCGACTCTTTCATCCATGCTCCACTTGGGGGGATGTAAGCATATAGCTCAGTTGGTAGAGCTCTGCTTCTCATCCTACGAGGTATTAGCAATTATTTCCAGTTATAGATATTAATTATCCGAGACTTGTGATGGCCAAAAACCGGTCCCACGCCGCTCATAACCGGTCCCGGTCCCGTTCTAAAAAGTTAAGCTCGATCAAGCTTTATTGTAACCGGTTATGGGCCGCCGGTCCCGGTCCCGGTCATTAAAAAATAATTTTTTTATTTTTATTTTTTAATGATATATATTTTTAATACATAATAAAATTTGTAATTGAAATACACTTTAAAAATGCGTTTTATTATAATTAAAATTATATTTTCTTACAAAATATAGCGAGAAACCGATAATTATGAACATTTTCTTGCATTTTTTACGAATCAAGAACTTGGTATATAAATCCCTCAACCAATACACTTATATATAATGTTTATAAAGCAAAAAATACAAAAAAAAAGGGCCAAAAAACGGCTACATTTTTGAAAAATCGGGACCCGGCCATTACCGGTCCCACGAAACATCTCAAATCCATAACCGATCCCAGATTTCGGTCCTATAACCAGTACTTACCGGTCTCAAGCCAGGCCGGACCGGTTTGGCCATCACTATCCGGCATGGGCGGACCTAGTTAGGTGCCATGGGTGGCACGTGCCACCGTATCGTTTCTCCGCCGAAGGGTAAAAAATTTAGGTTTCGTGAACCGTGCAACCGTATTAATTTGTTGTGTGCCACCGTATGTATTTTGAAACTATAATGAGAACACGTTTTATTTGGTAGAGTTGGTTTGCAAGGCTTTTATTCCACCCCACACCCAAGTCCGAATCATATTAGTGTCATTTTCTTAGTCAAACGATGCCACCATTTAAAAAAAATTATGGGTCCGTCCCTACTATCCGGGATTGTCAATGGTATAAATTTTCAAAAACAAATATCAATATAATCGTTCGAAATTAATAGATGCATGTAAGCTATCCGGATAACCAATAAAAAAATTCATATTTTATATAAGTGGTGGTCGGATAATTCAAAGAATTAGAAACTTCTAGAAAGCACAAATTATTGACCGTGGAGACTTTGTCCAGGCGCCCATACGTACATGCGAGGTTGAATGAATAGTTGAATACCAAGAGAGAGAGAGAGACTGAGAGAGAGAGATGCGTGCAGATTCTGTATGTACAAGACGTTACCTACTCTTCAACCTCTATTAATTCCAAGACGAATGAAAATCCTATCCGGATCCGCCTTTCAGAGCTCGATTTCATAATTCATATGTAGTCAAATTAACTCAAAGGTATGGTATTCGATCTGAAACTATATTCTTCTTGTCTTTGGCAGGATTAAAGTTATTTTTGATGTTGATCATGATCGCGTTTTTAGTGTTTTGATCGATGGATCTCAATTTTATGCTTTTAATTATATTAAAGTCGTTTGAAATAGCGATAACGATTTTGATTCTCTTCTGTGTTGAATTACTACGACGTTTCATTCGCTTCTGTGTTAAATTATTACGAGGTTTATAGCTTGAGAATCGAGGAATTTTCTGATGGAAACGGTTTATTAATTATTAGTTTGATTAGATTACAACTACAAAATTCTACAGTTTACTGAATCAGAATTGATCATTAAGTTCTTCAAATGCCTTGAACATCATATATTTCTCAGTAAAATAGCAGTATACTACTATCAAGTTTATCGCATTTTCCAACATTTCATCATCTTCCTTTTCTTCGAAGAAGATTCGTTCATGCAAGTTTTTTGTTTCTCATCGCTTTTGTTCTATCCGCCTCCTGGCTAGATTTCATAATCATGTAATCAAAAGGTATGAATTCCAATCTGAAGTCATTCTTCTGTTGTTACTATTTATTTAGTGGAACCATTGTTTTTTATGATGGTAATCATCGAGTTTTTAGTTAAACTTTACTGTTTTGATTCATTATCATCCTTATTTTGTGGTTTAAATCTTGAGAAAGTAGGAAGCTTATGGTAGAGTTAATTGCTTTGATGAGAAATTAATAGAGAGTACTATTGGTCATTGAAATAGGAAGTGATCATCATGTTCTTCAAATACTTCAATCGTCTTCATCTATTTACGGTAAAATTGCAGCATGATGTGGTTATACGAGTAGTACAAGAGTATTTTTAGTGGGAGGTTTTAAATTTGGTGGTATGGTTTGTAAACTCTTACGTTATTGTGAGAAAAGGTTTATAAACTAACAAAATGACAGAATCTGAACGAGTTAAATATCATCATAGATAGAAGGATATGATCGGTTCATCGGAAGTAAAAAGTTTATGAGAAAAACAAAGAACAAAGAAAAATCTGATATAATAAAAAAAGAACTGTTATATAATAAAGGTATAAACCGATCAAAAATGGCCTAAGGAGGGTTGTTTATCCAGACTTATCACGTAAGCGCTTGTATCAACATTTTCATTAAACTTACCGAGTATGATTCTAGTCCATTAAAACGGTAGTGTAGGTAGACATAGTTGTCACCCTCAGTCATCGGGTAAAACTTAATCTCTTGTCATTGTTTATACGGAATAAGACTTTCAATCATTGTCATGGTCATCTCATAAGGTAAAATAACCATATAAACACTTATCGAATAAGCGTTTAATAAACGAGATTTAAGTTTTATAGCATTTAATTTATCTTTCAACATTTTTTTAGTTTTATTTTGTTTCTTATTTAAAGCGGTGGTAATCTAAAACGAAATTCCGTATTCCGTAATTACCGTCGAATTTACTATTTATTCTACTTTATAGAACTTTGTAGACTAGGTAGAAGGGCCATAACCTTTTGAAAATGGGGGAGAGTCGCGTAGGTGGTTCAAAGATTTGAAATACAACGTGTGATGTAACCGGGCCCACACATTTAGTTCAGGAAAAAAGAGAAAGAAAGAAAAAGATGATACTCCGTGTGTTTGCCTCCTTTTGGAAACATAAACCTCTAAAACCCACTAATCCTACTACTAATTAAATAAGTATTAAAGAAACCATGTTTTCTCCAACGAATTTTTTTAAATAAATATGTTGTTTTGTATTTTATTTTAACTAGAAGTTACTTGTGTAATACAACGAAATAAATCTTCATCTTAGCAATTTAATTTATATTTTAGCTCTATTGATGTTATAATGCGATTTTATATAATCCTGAGAGAACAAAAATGTTCTTATTTTTTAATAAAATATAAATTTGAAAATATTATAAAATTTTAAAAAATATAATAAATATTAATATCAAATTAACTATTTAATAATTCGTGTTTTTGTGTAATTTCTTTAATTTATTTTTTATTGTAATTTAATTGAAGTTTAATAATAAACTAATTTATTTTTGGTTTAGGGATTTTTTAAAGATAATAATTAAGTATTATGTTAGAACTTAACTATTATTTTAATTATATTTTAGATTTTTTATATTTAAAATGATGTTTATCTGTAGTTAGTTACACGAATTCAAACATAGAACTTTAATAAGATGTATTCACGCACATTCTACTTTTAATCTTAAATTTTAAATAATACGCATCAATAAATAGTACCTTATGCATAAAAAAATTGTTTTTAAACGTTTTTGTCAAATATTTTATAATATCGTATAGATAAAATAAGATAACTTCAAATTTAATTCTCTATTATTTAATATATTTTTATAAATAAAAAGTATCCATAAAAACAACTTTTTTTTATTTATAATATAAAAAGAATTTGTATACATCTCATCTTCTCACTTTTTTTGTATTTAACCCAATTAACCTCAAACACATACCACTTCATATCTCTTAGATTATTGGTTTGAGTCTTGTATAATTACCGAAGATTTTTCTTACTATTTTTTATAATCCCTAAAATTAGTGTAGGTGTATGTAAATTGATCAGGATATTCGTAATTAAAAAATTGAAATTGGTTGGTTTTATTTGAATTTGTGTAATATGTTATTTTTTTAAGCCATCAGACACAAAAGTTCCTGTTTTAGGAAACTTTAAATGCCTTTTTCATTGAACTTTATAGATGTCATATTTGTTTCCTACTTCGATTTGCATCACGATCTTTTGTTTGAGAAAGAAGTTCGGTCGGCTACTTTTTTTTAATTTCTTCTCTCCTTTTCCTTTCTTGAAATTGCAAACAATTTCACACATTTTTAAATATTAAAAACGAGAGTAATCTTCCACCGTAAGGTTATAGAAAATTGATGCTAGTTGGAGTATCTTTGATGGGTCCTTTAAACAATTTCTTTCAAATAGAGAGATAAAAGAGCAAAAAAATTAAAATAAAATTATATTTAATTTTAATTATTTTTCTATTTTTGAGATTATAACTTCAATTAGATTAACCACAAGGGTTGTGCCTGATTGGTTTGAGCTTGGCTTCAAAGGTCAAACGTACCTAGAGGTCTCATGTTCAAATCCAAAGAGAAATAAAAATCATCTTGTGGCCATGGAGGTTCAAATACTGTGACTCCGGACTATTTACAAAGTAGGTGGTCACCTTGGAATTAGTCAGCTTGCATGGTAGGTTGAATATCCAGGTTAATTAAAAAAAATTATTTCTTAGAAATTTAATTTCAAAGGCTTTTGTTGGTCAAAATAATATTATTTTTCACATGTAAATAATCACTTTCAGGAAGCTTCCATATACGAAGAATGTAACTCTCTCTCCTAATTTCTTTTTTTTTATAAGGTTTTGAAGAATCTATTTGAATAAAAAAACCTTAAAATCTTAATTTTTCTTCATTTTGAAAATTTTGTTATAGATGTAGTAGTATTCTTTTGTGTAGAAGTTCATGATTGATTTTTTTTAATTATCTTACGTATTTATATATGCATCTCTATCTATTTATCATATACTCATAAGTTGTTTACTTTTTCTTCCACTAAATCCCGTAAAAGTTAACTGGTTAAGTTGTCAGTATGAGGGATGGAAGAACAATGGGTTTGAGGGAGACGAAAAAGATGGTTGAATTATTTATGTAGCATTTTTAGTATTAATTTATTTGAGATGGCTTAATGAAAACAACTGAGGAGTTTTGGTTGATTTCATATAACCATTTTGGTTTAATGGCTTAACAATTAAGTCATAAATAAACAATTCTATTCACTGAATCCATTAAACACATTATGTTGTAAGTAAAAAGTAGCTAACCAAATCTGGTTCACATTGCTTTAGATGGTGGCAAACAACTATCGGGGTGGATTCGACTTAAGATTGAGAGATAACATTAAAATAGATAAAAAAAAATTAATCACGTTTTTATATCTTTAATTACTATTTTAGGAAAGATTTATCTATCTCATAATCATATTCTTATAGTTACGCTAATTACATTATTTCCACCAAATTTTAATTAACTACCAACCCTAAATTATCAAACATGATTAAAATGTTAACTTTGTTTAATTAAAACTGGCTATAAAATACATCCATGTCATTGATAATTTTATCATTTGACCATGTAATTAGAAAACATAAAAGTAAAATGATATTTCTTTTATCTATTTTACCTATCAAGCGTAGGTTTAAAGAATCAAAAATGACATTTTGTATAACATTCAAATATAAAGTTACTTCTTTCTATCTTTTTGTTAACTTTGAATATTCGGGTTAGTTTACGTGCATTAATTAATCCTCAGAAAACCATGAACAGGAGATATAATAGGTGACACCAATGTATTGATTTGAACCAAAAAAGATAAGAGATTTTTACTGCTATCCCTTAACAAACCAAGTGATTATGGTGCTTATTTTTGACTTAATTTGTTACATATAAACATGAAAGCAACCCATTTGGTGATTTAAAATATCACCTTCTTCAGGGTACAGATTTGGTTTACTAGAAGATGGAGAAACCAACACTTGCAGATTTGATTATCATTGCTTCAATCGTAATTGTACTACTAATATCAAGATCAGAGGGGGATGCCAGATCCCAAATCGTATACAGGTATTGTGACGCCATAATGGAGAACAATCAATCGTTATTCGTCCAAAACTTTATCCGCACGATGGAAATAATTAGCAACGATATGCGAACTTCACATAATGCAACAGCAACCGTGGGTACCGGACTTAATACAAACTATGCAATTGCCGAATGCTACGGTGATCTTTCTTCAGAAGACTGCATTTTATGTTATGCGGAAGCCCGTACCGTGCTTCCTGGCTGTTTCCCCCGGAGCGGGGGTCGAATTTATCTCGACGGGTGCTTTATGCGACTCCAGAACTTTAGTTTCTTCGATGAGTATACAGGGCCTAATGATACGATCGTTTGTGGGAATACAACAAAAAACAGTAGATCGTTTGAGGATTCAGCAAGGCAGGCAGTGTTGAATGTTGTATCGAATGCATTAAGAACCAATGACTATTTCGCTAGGGAAGAGATGCCAGTGCCTACGGAAAACAAATCGGTGTACGTGTTGGCGGAATGTTGGAAGACTTTGAATTCGAGCTCTTGTAGGGCGTGTTTGGAGAACGCAACAGCATCGATATCGAAATGCTTGCCATGGTCCGAGGGTCGTGCGTTGAACACAGGATGCTTCGTAAGGTATTCCGACACCAATTTTCTAAATCCTCTACCAGCCACAAGCAGCAGCAGCAATAGAGGTAACAATAATGGAATTGAATCTAATATAAAGATTTTTCCAATAAAACCATTTATGAAATAGCAAGGTAGAAGCTGATTATATATATCATATATATGGGTTTTGCAGGAAAGATAATAGTTACTGTTGTATCCGTTGTCAGTTCTGTACTGGTTTTCACGGTTGCTTCCATGATTGTGTTATATATCAGGAAACGAAGATATATACAGCAGAAGAGAAAAGGTATAAGCCATTCAATACCATTTGAACTAGAGATGCACAAAAAAAACCAACCCAAAGTCTGGGCCTAGTGAGCCCAAAGCCTAGTCTGGACCAGGCCTCAAAGCACGATCAAGCCAATATTTTGATAGCAAACGCGGGCCTAGGCCTGAAAATCCTGGAAAAGTGTGGCTAAGCCTGAAAAATCCCAATTGGGCCCTTTTGCAACCCCAATACCCCATTGCTCGCCCCAAGGCCTAAAAGGCTTGGAAGGCCCGGGCCTATCCCGAAAAAGCTCGAGCCTTGTGCATCTCTAACTTGAACCATGTACAATTTGCACATAATCCGTACAATATGTAGAAGAAACTAATGATTGCTTAATGATTCAGGTTCTTATGATCCTGAGAAACTTGCAAAGATACTCATCGACAGTAGCTTGAACTTCAAATACTCCACTGTTGAGAAAGCAACAGGAAATTGGGATGAGTCCAATAAGCTAGGACAAGGAGGATTTGGGACCGTCTACAAGGTAGAACCTTAGGATGCGTTTGGTATATGCAGGCGGACAGGACTATACCAGACTGGACAGGCGAGAGTGAGGTAGGTGGTTGAAAGAGTTGCAGAAGGTTTTAGGGTTTTAATTTGATATGGATAGTTCCGTAATTTACTACCAACTTCCTGATTTTTTGTTACACCTATTTTGTGGGGACAAAAATTGCAGCGGTCCCACTCAGTCTTGTCTTGTCCAAGTCTTATGTGTTGAACATGGAACAAGAAGTTTTTTTTGTTCTGTCATGTCCTGTCCTGTTCCGCTATACCGGTACAACCACATCCAACACATCTTCTACATCAAGCATCAAGTCTGTTAAGATGAGCTTTCTTGTGGCTTTAAGGTTTAAGTTTTTTCCGTAGTCCCTTTTATATAACTAATTTCAACAACAAAATTTCTCTCAGGGGGTTCTTTCAGATGGACGAGAAATAGCCGTGAAGAGACTCTTCTTCAACAACAAATTTAGAGCGGCAGATTTCTATAATGAAGTTAACATGATTAGCAGTGTTGAACACAAAAACCTGGTGAGGCTGTTAGGATGCAGCTGTTCAGGACCCGAAAGCATTCTTGTATATGAATATCTACCCAACATGAGTCTCGACCTCTTCATTTTTGGTAAGTTTATGAAAGTTCTTGATGATTCTGAAATCAAGAAGCCGATGAGTTGATATATAGGTATGAATTTGTACACTTCTACAGATGCAGCAAAAGGCAAGGACCTAAACTGGGAGAAGAGATTTGAGATCGTCATTGGTATAGCGGAAGGCCTAGTCTACCTTCACGAGAATACCAAGGTCCGGATCATTCACAGGGATATTAAAGCGGCTAATATCTTATTAGACTTGAGGCTTCGTGCTAAAATAGCTGACTTCGGGTTGGCTAGGTCTTTTCAGGACGATAAGAGTCACATTAGCACCGCTATTGCAGGAACTCTGTAAGTACCTTATTTTGGTCATGTTTTCGACCTACCATTGCTTTATAATGGTTTTGTGTGCGCGAAAATGGGTACAAATACTTGCTAGATTTAGGAATGTACAAAAGGAGCCAAAGAGGAGAATTTAAAAGGAGAAATTGATCTCCTTATTTTAAAATTCAGCCACCAAAACTTATTCTTTCAGTTTTGTCTAGAATCCCATAAGTCTGACCCCGCAAGCCAACTTTTGCTTTCGTGTCAAATTTTTCTGACAGATTCTGGCAAAAATCATTATGTCTCCCGAGTACAAAACCGCAAGTGATGGTAGAGGAACCACAGCTTGCAGTGCCACAGGCCAAAACTGCAGCTTGTGGTTTCCTCCTCTTTTGTAGGTATGAGTTCATAAATTTGCATGTTTTCTTATAAATCCATACCTGCAAAAAGGAGGAAACCACAGGCTGTGGTTCCTCTACCGCAATTTGCGGTTTATCTTTTTCCCCCATAATCTGTTAGAAGTTAGACTTGCAGGTCAAGGGCAAGATTGAAAGAAAAATTTTGGTGGCTAAATTTTAAAAAAAGTAAGCCAATATGGCTATTTAGGTTAACTCATTTAAAAGCTTACCTTTATTGATCCATCTATTGAATCACTTGCTACATTTAGGTTCAAATAAGAAGGCTAAATATTGTGAGAAAGGAAGATTAAGGGAAGTTTCATATGTGAATCATTGAAAAAAATCAATTTAAAATGCATATGTGAACCCATATGAATACACTCTAACGTCGGTTCACATGCATTTTCAAATAGATTTCTTCAATGAATTTTCCCTTAACCTTCCTTTCAACCTTCTTACAATATTGAGCCTTATTATTGAAACCGGGCCGTACTAAAGACAAAGGATCGTGTGAGAATAGGAGTTAAAGTGAGAAGTGTCAAAAGAGATTTGGAGCCTTGATCACTTTTAATCTCAAAACAACCCATGAATTGCACTTTAGAAGGGAATTGATCTAGTATATCTCATTAGTGTTGATCTAGTGGTTCTCTTCAATTAAGATTGATCCAAGGATGGAGATCCCTTCTTACCATAACTTTTATTCTCACAGGAACCCAATTCCCCTACTAACTAATATGCTAACATTGTCTTTTTTATTTCAATTTCAACAGTGGATATATGGCCCCAGAGTACTTGGCCCACGGTCAGTTGACTGAGAAGGCAGATGTCTATAGCTTTGGTGTGTTAGTGCTGGAGGTGGTCACCGGAATGGAAAACAACAGAAGTAAAACCACGGAATATACTGAAAGCATAGTGTTTACTGTAAGTATAAAACTTCATCTATTACTCCCTCCGTCTCAAAATGAGGAAGAAAATCTGCCATCCCAAAATTCCCCGTCCCTTTCTTGTGCACCAATTAGGTAAATATATATCATCAGAGAAAGAAGATAAATATGAATTAGATGAAGTTATATTAAATAAATCAATGATGTGTCTTCACCTGATTGATAGGAAATGTAAAGGACAGTGAATTTTGGGACAATAGATTTTTATTCCAAAAATGATGATATCAGTCAAGTTATCAAAGGGTATTTTATATATCTAGTAAGCATTCACACATTTTCCTAAAACCATGCATCTAGTCAAATATTGCAATTATAACGGGACTAAGGGACTGTTTGGTTTGACGGAATGTTTTCAAAGAGAAATGGATTTCATGGAATTACATTTCTTACAAATAATTTATATAAACAAATTATAAAATCCCCTTTTTATTAATTGATTATTACAAAACAACTGTTTTAACATATTTTAAAACATTATTACAAACAAATCATGCGAAATCTCACGAAATACCAACTACCCCCATGGGATCTCTAAATCCCATTTTTGTGGGGTTTCAAATCGAAGCATTCTTTCAAACCAAACATAAGGTTGGAATGGAATTCAATTCCAAATCCTATCAAATCCTACAAACCAATTTGAATCAATCCAAAGAATGAAATTATTCCTTATTTCCTACTGTGTTATTTGGATGAAAACAGGCATGGAAGCATTTCCAGCAAGGTACAGTGGAGGAAATCTTCGATCCGAACCTAATGATGCATATTTATCCTACCAGCAATTTCCAGAAAGACGCCTTAAAAGTGGTACATGTAGGCCTTCTTTGCACTCAAGAAGCTCCATCTTTAAGACCATCCATGTCAAAGGTATTAAAAATGTTAGCCAAGGACGATGAACCCTTACCTGCCCCCTCTAATCCCCCTTTTATGGACCATAAAACCATGGAACTCAACCACATCACTCAAAAGTTGCTGAATTACCATAAACCCGAAGATTCTTCTTCACATGCTACAGTCTCCCACAGCCATTTCTACCCAAGGTAACAAAATCAACTCATAACAATATCTCACCAACATTTTCTCTAAGGAATTTTATGTATTCTTTATATTTGTTGTTTAAATCCATGACCTCCTGACCTACGGATGAAAAATGGCTCTATGTTTATGAGAACGTCATGGACTTAATTAAAATATCATTTAAGGTTATATAACTTGTTAGATATAGTAAATTAGGCTCTCTCTTTCTTAGTGTGATGGTATCATTTCCTTAAATAGGGATGATTTGTTGTATATATAATAGTGTAAACTATCTTCTAGATCAATGACAAATACATCACTTTATTCGAGTGATTACATGGTATCAGAGCCAAGGTCTACCCCTCTAGGGATTCGACACCCTAGTTAGCCCCCTCTTGACACCTTGGGACAATCTGTGTGCATCTAGCCTCGTTGGAGGGAGCATGTTGGAGTCTCACACCGGCTAGACTTGGACCATTATCATGTATATATGTTGGAACTTCCCCTTTCTCCTTGGGGGCTTTTTTAGAGAGTGATCCGAGGGCTCCATATGTTCCAAGTTTAGCCGATGAGGAATTCCAACATAACCGGTATAAAATAGGAAAATAGATTCCCAAGTTTTTGTCTATAGTTTAATCTGGTCTTTTAGGTAAATGACTTTGAATGGAATTTTAATTAAATCCATGACCTTCTAAACTATAAAAGAAAAAATGGTTTCATACTCATGAAGGTCATGGGTTTAATTAATATCTCACCTTCAGGTTATATACCTAAATATGAACCTCTCGGGTTGTGGCACACTGGTTAAGCTTCACGGGGATGTAGTGGAAAATCTCATCTTCGAATCCAAGCACCGCCAAAACCCTTATCCATGGAGGTTTTCCTATGAGGAGTACAGGCCAATCGTGGTTGCCCGGGAATTAGTCTGTGCGCGTAAGCTGGTAAGTGTTTAGTTAAATATATTTGGTTGTTTAGCTAAATGATCTTTTGACAAGTGTATTCTAAATCCAAGACACAAGTTTCTAGGCATTCTTGTGAATGGAAGTGACATTCTTCTGTTAGGCAGTGACATTCTCAAACCTATCAGAAGGTCATGAATAATAAAAGAGAGATAGTAACAAAGAAACATACATATAACAAGCTTATGAAACACAATTATCCATGAATGAAGAACACATGTTGTGCCATGGATGCGGATGAAATGTGTGGTCAGAGTTTTAGAAACAGATTATAGTTTCACACCTTCTGTCATGAAAACCATTAGATTGGCGACGTATGCATCTCCTTGTATGACTTGTTTTATCGTGAAGCAACTAAGTTGCCCATCAATCCTCCACCAACTTCGAAATGCTTAGCACTTGAAAATCCCGCTTCTAAAGCGAGATGCTCTAACTCCTCACCTGTGCATAAACAAATATTCGCAAGTGAGCACCCACGAGGATCAAAATTACTCACCGTTTTAAAATTTTCATTTTGTGGGTCCTTTTTTATGTGGCATGAGAAGAAGCCAATATGTGATTTTGGCCCATTTAGGGTCGTTTACCATATGCTTATCGGGTAAGTGGTTACCGAGTGTCGCTTACCTTACTAGGTGATCATGACAAAGACCGAGAATCTTACCCGCATAACAAAAACTGAGAATCTTACCCGGTAAACGAGGGAGAAGACTTCTACCTAGTACGCACTTACCGGGTAAGAAAACACCTACCAACAATCCATTTTCATGACCGAGAATGTTACCCAATAAGGTAATTGAGGGTGGTGACTCTTGCCGGTAAGTGCTTGGTAAAAGTCCCCTTATGTTCATTATGAAAAGAAACAAAGAATGGGCCAACAAAAATGAAGAAGGGATAATGATATAAATGAATTAAACCAAATATTTTTACCCTTTTTAGAATACAAGGGGATGTGACGATAAGAACCAACCTGTTAAAAATTCTTGAATTGACCTCTTCAGATATTGATACTCTTCGGAAAGACCATAACTAGCCGCCACAGGCACAATTAGGTTGTCTATTATCAACCCCTGCACAATAATCCTTCGACGTTTAAATGTCGCATTACCCCAAGCAAAATGACTATTTGAATCCTTACTAAAATCTAAGGCCCCGTTTGGTTTGACGGAATGTTTCGAGCGATATGGAATCGGAAGGATTTGGAATCTTTGGTGTGTTTGGTTTGTAGAATTTGAAATGGAATTGAATTCCATTCTTTTATAAATCTTAGTTTGGTTTGTAGGATTTGGAATAATTTTTAGTAAATATTTGTTTGTTTTATAAATAATTTGTCTGTTTCAGTAAGATGTGGAGGCGATGAGAGATTAGGGCGGTTTTGATGAGAGAGGCGGGGTAGAGATGCTATGGAAACAATTCAAATCCATGGGAATCGGATTTGAAATGACAGACATCTCCAACGGATTTCTAAATCCCGGGATTTCAAATCAAACTTTTCTTCATACCAAACACAGAACTGGAATGGAATCTAATTCCAAATTCCTTCAAATCCTGCAAACAAAACGGGCCCTTCGGCGTTTGGTTTGATGCAATGGTGTTAAAGGATTTGGAATTGTTGGAGGAATTTGGATTTGGAAGGATTTTGAATCTTTGGTGTGTTTGGTTTGTAGGATTTGGAATAGAATTGAATTCCATATTTTATAAATAATTATAAAAAAATTAAATTACCGTTTTATCAATTAATTATTATAAAACAAATATTTTCAACATTTTAAAACATTATATCACATAAATCCTACGAAATCCCGTGATATACCAACCACCCATATGGGATTTCTAAATCCCATGTTTGTGGGATTTCTAAATCCCATGTTTGTGGGATTTCCGGGATTTCAAATCTAAGCAATCCTTCAAACCAAACATAAGATTGGAATGGAATTCAATTGCAAATCCAGAAAACCAAACGGGGCCTAAGTTGCATCATAACTATTGCATTACCACAAGCAAAATGAACACTGATCATGTTTTTAAAACCATTATGTAAACCAACCAATATCTAGTATGAAAAACGAACCTGAAAAGATGTCCTAAATTCATCGGTGCTTTTGTTTAAGTCAAGGATTGATGCTTTAGACCCTGGTTTTAGAACTCGATGCACCTCTTTCATCGCTTTATACTTGTCAATCACATTACGTAGCCCGTAGCCCATGGTAATTGCATCAAAATGGCAGTCGGGAAATGGCAAATCAACTGCATCGCCTTCCATCCACCTATAACATAATCACCGGTAAGCCATGAAGCATACAAGATTCTTGGTTCCCAACACAATATACTCAAACATGCCTAAATATGGCAATGCTCACTTAAGGTTACGGTAGCAGGGGTTCGAGCGTGATTGCTGCCGAGATGAAGCCACCATTAGTTGTTCTCTTGAGAAATCAAGGCCAATAACCTGCAAATTGTGGAAAGCAACGAAGATATCGGGATTGTTTGTGGCATTTTGATGACAACTACTACAAATTCGCAGATAATATAGGTGTGTGATCCATTGTAATCGACCATTCAATCCATACGTAGGAGAGTTTCTTGCATATTGATTAACCGATTTGGGCACTAAATTTTTGATTTCGTATTTGGATTGCGCTTAATTGGCCACACGGTTTAATGGAAGTATTTGAGAAATGATCCAAGTCTAGCCGATGCAGGAATCCAAAATGCCCCCTCCAAAAGAGGCTAGATGTGCACAAATTGTCCGAAAGGGTCAAGGAAGAGCTCGACGGACATAGGAACCATGTGAGAATATGTGGAACCCAATCAAATTACTTTCCAAAAAAGCCCTCGAGGAGAGAAGAAAGGTTCCAACATATATTCATTGAGGAGAAATGGTCAGAGTTTAGCCGATATGGGACTCTTAACACACCCCCCCTCCAGCAGAGGCTAGACGGGCACAACTTGTCCTAGAGTGTTGAAGGGGATAGAAGGGCTAGATGGGTACGAATTGCTCCAAAGTGTCGAGTCCCTATAGTGCAAGAATCTCACATATGGAACCCCATTAGATTACTGAGGTTCCAACGTATATCGAGGGTAAATATCCAAATCTATGGGGAATCATGTAGACTAAAATCAATGGCCATCACTAACAAGCAAAAAAGGTAACTTGGGATCGAAATTTTGTCATTTATTTTGAGGTCAAAGAGTGAAGGACCAACCTGGCCATGGAGTCCAACCTTTTCAGACAAGAGAAATGCCAAATCCCCACTTCCACAACACAAATCCAACACATTGCTCCCTTCTTTTGCCCTATCATTCAAAACACACACACATCACATATATATATATATATATATATATATATATAGGGCTGGACTCTGGTCAGAACTGAAGTTTCGGTGAGAAGGGTAAAAAGGGATCTCCACCCTTTGTTTAATCTAAATTGAAAGACCAACAGCAATGGACTGCACCGGACCAATTCCCGAATTCATGGGATGGGGTTAAGATTAAAAGTGATAAAAGGGTCCAGATCCTTCGTCTATATATAATATATAGAGAGAGATCTAGTGTATCTCATTAGTGTTAATATGGTTCTCTTTCATTAGGATTAATCCAAGTGTCTCCTACCCTTTCCACCATAACTTTTGTTCTCATCGAAATTCAACTCTATATAGACGAAAGAATCATGTGAGAACAGGGGTTAAAATATAAAATCACAACAGAATGTAAGCATATTTTTTTTGGGGGGGACGGGGTATCACAAAATTGGAAGAGTTTTTGGGGATTCAATGGTTACCCACTCCAACTAACTGCCATTCGTTTCCATATCCGATGTTGCCCTAAACTAAACACATCATTCAACTGTAAAAGAAAACCATGAACGGCAATGGCGGAATTTATGTTAGAAAATGAATTCGAAAAATTGAGATGAAGAATTGTGATGTACGTTATCGTAAACGGGTGCGATGCGATCAAAGAGGGCCTGGCGGTCGACGGAGGAGCGAATTTTCTGCCGTCGTCTCCAATGTCCGGCTACCGGACCAAATGGGAACTGAATCACAGCCATTCTCGCATTGTGGAATCTGTCTTCGATCACTTTCAGGATAACGTTGCGTTTGGTACGGACACTGTTTTTATATATTTCGATTATTTTATTATTATAATAAAATATATCATTATAATTTTTTGTTAAAAGATCCAAATAAAATGTAATTTTTTATTTTGTTTAGTATTGTAATTTTTTTTTATGTTGTAACAAACTTTTAGTTGGTGGATTAAATGCATTCTTATATCTATTTTATATTATAAATATTTGATAAAAAAATTTAAAAACCATTTTTCATAACTCAGGAAGGATTGACTTATCAAAAACAGCTTATTACCGATTTGGTACCGGTATAAGCAGTTTTTTTCCTTATCCAAACACCAGAAAATAGCTTATCACCGGTGTCAGACTAAAATAAGTTAAAAAGCAGCTTTTATAAGCAATCTCAAACACCCCCTAAATAGTTAATTTGATACTAATATCGATTTATTTTTTTCAAATTTATATTTCATTCAAAAATAAAAACATCATCGCTTTCTCAGAACCACATAAAATCGTATTATATCGATAGAGACAAATAACAAAAGCTAAACATTAAAATCAAGATTTATCTCGTTACATTACACGAGTACCCTTCTAATATTATTAAATGCATCAGTAGGAATATATCTTCATGCACATCAAAATTAAAACCCACTTTTTACATTTTTAATCCAATAATTGACATGATTCTCAAGTATTTAATTTGTCAATTTATGTATCTTCATCTACCTTGGTATATCTATTTAATGATCAATAAAGTGATTAGATGTGTGTACAAATTTGTGTAGGCCACACCAACTTAGGTTTGGGTAGATTTATATTGGACAAATTACGTGTCAGTTTTATACATGTGAGATCATACATTTTTAGCTATGTTTTAGATAACATAAATTATTTCTAAATATGATACAATATGTTCAGGGTTTTCACAAATATGCAAACACGTTATGTGTCGACCATTTTTTAAAGCATGTTAAATGCTTTATTTTGCAAGTATGGTATCCATTAAATGTTGGGCAAATTGCATGAAAAAGTAACGTACTTTAATTTGATTTCTATTTTGGGTAACGTACTTTCAAAACTTTCATTTTGGTACCTAAGATGTAAAGTTTTAAATATTTAAGTACCCGGGTAACCACTTGAAGACTAAAATTAGATTAAAAAAAGACTAATTTTATATTTAAAAAATCCACGTCAGTAAATAATACCGAGTTGGATACCACATTACTTGTCACATCAGCATGATAATCGGTTAATACTTCAATCAGTTACCCGGGTACTTAAATGTTTAAAACTTTACATCTTAAGTACCAAAATAGAAGTTTTGAAAGTATGTTACCTAAAATAGGAATCAAGTTAAAGTACGTTACTTTTTCATGCAATTTGCCCTTACGTGTTTTGATAAGTGTAGTACATGTATTGTCAGGGCATTACGAAGCGGCACAGTGTAGTACATGTATTGTCGGGGTATTACGAAACAGCACAGTGTAGTACATGTATTGTCGGGGTATTACCTTTTAGTTACAAATGTATTGTATTACCTTTTAGTTACAAATGTTCAAATTAAAATTTGAATTAAATATGATTCGCTTCTCTAATATTTAATATTTGGTAATGTGACAAGTCCAATGGTTGTAAAATTTTGATGACGGATTTGAACTTGGACTCCAAAAATCAAAAGTTTAATGATGGTGTCTGATTGGTTTGAACGTGGGCTTCAAAGTTTAAAAGTGTCTGCAGGTCCTATGTTCGAATCCAATGAGGAATAAAAATCCTTCCTTGTGGTTACGGAGGTTCAAATGCTTAGAGGATTTTGACGATGAATTCAATCAATTAAGAGGATTGATAAATCAATAATATGCTCAGAATTTTTTTTTTTGAAAGGCAAAAAGGAAGGACAAGGGAGAGAGCTTCGGCATGGCCATCACCCTCACCAAGCCAGCCAATAGATTAAAAATAGATCCAGCAAGAAGCTAGACACAAGCAAATACAAGAGTCCAATACAACGAACAAGAAATTAAGGAAACAAGACCAAAAAATCTCCCCAAAAACGAGGCCCAAACCAAAAACAAACCAACCACAGATAAACCAAGAGACTAAACAAGGTAAGGAGAAAAGGTCCAACTATCCCAATTAAGAATGAATTTACGATTCCTAGTCCCCATCCATAGCTTGGATAAATTTTGAACCTAAGGAAATGGGTTTTCACCTTTCTTCTTAATTTTCGCGTCATCCTCAGCATGAAAATTTTCATTCCGCCACTTCCATAGTTGCCAAAGTGTCACAGCGCAAACAGATAAGAACATCACTCCAACCTTTCGATGATTGCCTACTTGTTTGATTAGAAATTTGAAATCCGACACCGATGATAGACGCGGGGTTTTAAGATCCCACCAAGCCCATATTTTCCTCCAAAGAGCGTTAGCCGCTGAACAAGAGAAGAAACAATGATCCATTGTTTCTACACCTTTACCACATAGAATGCACTCCAAGGATTGTAACGAAATACCCCTTTTTGAAAGATTGAATTATACCGGGATAGCCTCTCTAAGGAATCGCTAAATAAAAATGTTTACTTTCTTTGGGATTAGAGGGCTCCAAAAGCATGTATCATTGTTTTCAGCGCTTGTATTGGCCTTCCCTTGAATTAACTTAGACAAGAAATTGACCGAGAAAATTCCCGTCTTGTCCCAATTCCACGACCACACATCCTCACCTGAAGTATTGAACGCCATTTGAGAGAGATGCCTTTCTAAGACTTGAAGATCATCTAATCTTCTACCCCTAATCGTTGATCTCCAATCCCAAGCACCACTCCAAGAATCATTAAAATACATCCATCTTTCTTTGAAAGAAGCGTTTTTATTTCTTTCCAAAGCATAAAGTCTAGGATAAAGATCTTTCAACTTTGAGCCATGACCGATGCTAGCATCTTTCCAAAAAGAAGAAGAAGAATCTTTAGCAACCTTTTTTTAAAACGATTGAATAACGTTCTGACCAGCAACTTCCACAATCTTGCACGTGTTGACAATCGAAACCCAAACACTATTACCAACCAAAGGTCTATTAGAAAAAAGACCACCGTCCTCACTATAAAATTCAGAAATGACATCCTTCCATAACACGTTAGAACTAGACAGGAATCTCCAAACCCATTTTGCTAACAAAGCATGATTTTTAGCTTTTAAACTAAAAATTCCCAAACCACCATTTGACTTAGAGCTTAAAATTTTCTCCCAAGCAACCCAATGTAATTTTTTTCCCTCCTCCTTAAATCCCCAAAAAAATCTTCTTCTTATAGCTTCCAAAGATTTTAAAACAGAGTTGGGTGCTTTGAAAAGAGAAAAGTAGAACAACGGGAGAGAAGATAACATCGATTGGACCAGAGTAAATCTTCCACCTATGGAGAGGCAATGAGACTTCCAAATTGAAAGTTTTTTAAGAAATTTATCTTCCACGACAGACCAAGAGGCTTTTTTCTTCATGTTACCACCAACAGGAAGCCCCAGATAAATGAGAGGAAAGGAGGAGACCTTACACTTTAACATGGCAGCCATGTTGTTAACCTCCGCTTCCGAAACTCCAATACCAAAGAGATTGCATTTAGATAAATTTATACGCAGACCTGAAACATCATGAAAGCAATTAAGAATATTAGTAAGAGTTACTAAATTCTTACGAAACCACTTTCCAAAAATAAGAGCGTCGTCCGCAAATTGAAGAAGTGAAAGATTCCGATTAGACTTCGCAAGCCTAATGCCCTTGAACAGCCCCTGATTACAAGCAGTCCTGATCATGATCTGTAAGACTTCCCCCACAAGCAAAAAAAGAAACGGAGAAAGAGGATCTCCTTGTCTTAGACCCCTTTTCATATAAAACTCATCAGAAGACGTTCCGTTTATCAAAATCCACTTTAAAAAGAAACATTTTCATCTTCTTCTTTTTAGCGTGATTCATAATTTCATTTGCTATTAAACACCCATCCAATAAGTGCCTTCCCGGGATGTAGGCAGATTGATTGTTACTGACGAGTTTGTTCATAATCTTCGCCAATCTATTAGCCAGCAGCTTTGCAATAATTTTATACATGCAACCAAGTAAACTGATGGGCCTAAAGTCCGAGATGTCCAAGGGATCAATTTTTTAGGAATCAAAGCAATGAAAGCAGCATTTACATCCCCTGGAAATCCTGCCCGATTTTTCGAATAACGTAACCGCATCAACTATAGATCCGCCAATAACTGACCAGAACTTCTTAATAAAATTGAAATTTAAGCCATCAGGCCCCGGAGCTTTCGACCCATTACAAGCCCAAACAACCTCCTTTATTTCCAAAGCAGAAAAAGGCGATTCCAAAAAAGCAACATCGTTGGACGATAATTTAGAGAAAAGGGGGCTGAAAAACTTGGGCCTAAAGGAGCAAAGTTCTTTGAATCTATTTGCAAAGTGCTGAAAGAAAGCATCTTTGACAACCAAAGGATCAGAGTTCCAAATCCCGTTACAGAGAATTCCTTTAATTTTATTCTTTCTCCAACGTTGATTATCAACCATATGAAAAAACTTGGTATTTTCATCTCCTTGTAAATCCCACTTAGACCGTGATTTTTGATTGAGATCCAAAGTTTCACGATTTTCCAAAAGCATCAGTTCGAAAATCTAATCATCTCTCTTTTGGCAATCGGCTATAGAAATTCCCCCCTCTTCAGCTTTAGAATCCCAATCAACCAAATCTTTAAAAATCTCATCCTTTCTTTTTGATTCACTGGCTAAATTTTTTTTGACCATATTCTTAAGTCATTCTTTAGAGCTTTAACCTTTTCTTTAAAGATAAAATCAACAACCCCATGGAAAAAGCTTGAAGACCAAGACGAAAGAACTGCACTTTGAAAATCATCGATATGCTTAGAAATTAGAAGAAAAAATATGACCGACTAAGATTTTAGAATTTCAAAAGATAATTAGATAAATAAGTATATTTATATATTATTTGAAATATATATGTATATATATTTCGGGTT